GGATAAATTTGACTTCAGAAACAGGTTTACGACAGCTTCCTCAATGGCCAGTCATTACTTCAAGGCTATCATTAGTCTAATGAAACTTTACAATAGACTGCAGGACTTTGGGCACGTTGACCTTACCAAAGACCTGTCCTTACGCACCACCACTAACTTCTTTAGGCCAACCAGCATCGTCTCTGGACAGCTGACAATCAATGAGATATGTCTGGTTTAGTGAAGAGTTTTTTTTTATTGCAGTCGTGATAGACGGTGTAGGGTCTACAGTAGGTAAAATGAACGTTTAGCCCAAAATTGTGCTGATGAAGCTCCATCGTACAGTGGCGGAGATGTAATGATATGGGGAATGATCCGTTACAAAGAAAGAAGTCAATTGGTGCATACTGAAGAACTCCTGAATGCACAATGCTACGTTAGTAAAATTCTTCGATCCCATGTCCTTCCATTTTAGGATGCCAAAAGGTGTATTTTTCAACAGGAAAATGGCAGAACCCATTCTGCAGGGTTTAACTATTGATAAACCGGATACGAAAGAATTGTCATTTGATTGGGTGAACAGAAAGGTATTCTTATGTGCAATTTAAAGAATGCCACTCATTAGATTACAAAGATATTTAATGTCAACATTTTGACTATGTTTGTCCCTTTTAGTAGCTATGTGTTACTTTTTTAAAAACAGTTTAGGTAGACAACAAATCAAATGGTTTGGCCATGTACCAAGACTGACATCAGACATGGTGCCATAGAGAGCAGTGTTATATAGATACATCAGTAATAGAACCAGAGGTAGACCCTGCCCAATGTGGATCATAGAAATATCACTGACACTGAAAAGTACTTTATACGAAGTGAATAGAAGGGCCAGTTCCAGAGAGATCTCTTCCTGCACTGACGCATTCCAAGAGTAGAGAAAAGAAGAAGAAAGTGTTTTGTTAGACATGTTATGAGAAGGAATGGAGTCAAAAAACTTGGTAACTAGCAAGATTGATAGAAAGAAAGCAAGAGGAAGGCAAAGAAAAAATACCTGGAACGCTTAGCGAGACAAAAACATTGACTTTGTCCATGATTCTAGTGATCGTGCAAGCTGGTAAAACATGTCTACATTAACTGGCACAGCACATGATGATGTTACTCATCTGTTCTCAAAAGGCAAGAGAATTTGGCTCTCCTTTAAACTACGGCCGGTAGACAACAGTCAACGGCAGGTTAGTCGGAGTTCAGTCCCTTGGCTACAGTGCAATTACGGAGTGGAAAAGGCGCGAATCACAAAACAAAGTGACGTCGACATGGCTGCTAGAGCTAGACCACGCGCTGCGACTCACATTAGCGACCACGTTCTTGCGACGCAAGACTTAGTGGCCAGAGATGTGACACCTCCGGATCTGTATGCCTTAATGAGCGATAAGCTTGCGTGGTTGCGGTGGCTAGCTGAGCATAGAGTTATAAGGAACATGCAGGTGTGTCAAGATGGCTGAACAATTATAAAACTGTGCAGATGGCACAACAGCAATGCAGAGGTACATCACAACTTTGGGGTTGCACTGGACTAGACAGCAAACTGGTGAACACCTCTCTAAACCAAACCCGGTTATTTAAGGAACATGTTCTCTACCAGGGGGCCCGGCGAACACAGAAAGGATCAAAATTTCTTTTGAAGTTGCACAGCATCTGTATGACAGGTAAGGAACCAACAGTGTGCACATAATAAGCAAGATCTGAAAAACATGTGCATGCAACACTCAAGCCCTTAACCCTTTCGCTGCTACGTTCCCGGAAATAGTTGTCCTCCCTGTGCTAAGCAATGTGAAAAAAAAAGTCTCTGCTGTGCGCAATACTTTTCTATCCTCTAAACGCAAAAGATGCGTCCGCGGTGAGGGCTATGTTTTGTACACCTAAAAAATTTTACCCTGGGGAGTTGTGGGGTTGGTTCGAGTGGTGACAAGTCAGAGGCACGATGGTGCCCCACAAACTTGACTAACGGAGCTATCACCCTTCGGGGTGGGGGGGGGAATTAATGGGAGGAACTGTTCCCAGTCTGTATCCCAAAATTTGATTGACGAACCTACCACGGCTGCCACTTTAATCATATTTACTTATAGTCATCATGTTATTACATACCAAAATAATAATTTAAAAAAAAATAATCATAATAATACTCAAGTCGTCCGTTGCTGAAAAGTAACAGGAACTCAAAGGAAAATTTACAATTAATTTAAAAAAAAAAAAACCTTCGGGGGTTGAACACACGACCCTCCGATTCTAAGGCGAACGTGATACCAATTACACTATGCAACCGCCTGATGCATTGCGCTGTGTAAATGATCATAATGAATGATGTGCGCAGACTATCAATAATGTGTCTAAGTTTGTAGTCTATCGCCGCCTGCATGAGCACTGTTGTCTAAGAAATGTTTGAGATTCTCAACAATAGTAAAAATATGTCCCTCGACATTATTTTAAGGGAGTTTTAAGCAAACAGTCTTTGCTCAAGTACTCTATTTTGAGTTTCTTTGTTCTAAGCATTAGCAGACAGACAGAAAAAAAAATTAGTTCGTCCGAATCTGTGTCTGTCCATCGGGAAAGACGAGAAATTTTGGTGACTTAACTGTTTGAATTTACAGTAGCAGAAATATAGATAGAGCTGGAGTCATCAAAATCATGCACTACTGGTTTCAAATCATCGGTTCATCAAGATAACTGATCAATTTATTGCCGTTTTGATGGCGCGTCATTGTCGCTGCTCTCTGATTCCGACATGAGGACGTCGGACAGGCAAACAGCTTTTTTTGGACACGCCGGTTTCAGCAGTCGATACTGATGGCCTAGTCAAATCTTCTTGTTCACTGTCAGAAGTACACATTTCAAAGTCATCGTCGCTATCACTTTTGACAGAAACTCCATCAATTCTTCATCAACTTTAACAAGTTTTCTTGCCATTTTGTACTAAGTGTAGAATAATCTAAAAGCACAAATATATATCAGGGCACAAAATACACAGATCACCGACCACGCTGTCACGGTAAACAAAGCAACGGGATAACGCAAAATGCAGTAAACACACCTTAAACACGCCTAAAAGTACGTGCAAGTGCTTTTAATCATATGTAAATGGGTCAGTTTTATCTAAATATAGCTAATGTATATTGCCCTTCAGTCAATAAAATACGAGGTAACAGAAATCTGTAAGAAAAGTCCAAAAACGGCTTAGGACGTCCATAGCACTGGGGGTCAAGAAAAAAAATAACGTCCAAAGACGGGCGTAGCAGCGTACGGGAAATCGGGAAAAGACGTCCATAGCAGCGAAAGGGTTAAAGAGGATCAAGTTCCAGGCTCAAACAACTAACAAGGTCTAGCCAGAGTTTGCAGAAGAAGAATACTAACTGGATGAACAAAAATTCTGTGGTCAAGGCAGCAAGAGTGATTGATATTAGCACTACTGTGTGCTTAATACATGTCTATTAAAACATGGGAGTTGCAATGTATACTCAGTACATTTCAAGACCTGGAAAAGGGTCTCTGAACTAGTAAACATAATTATTTTAAAGAACAATGAAGAATTTGGTTTGTGTCTGCAAAAGCATATTTACAAAGTAAGTGATTAAGTCTACTGTGTATGTTGTTTTCTTTATTATTATAAGTTTGTTTGGATTTGAGGGGGGGGGGGGGGGGGGGGGGGGGTGTTGACAAGCTATGAGCTACATGATCTAAATATTTGAAGAAAACCAACTGTTTAACATTATTTATCTCAAAAACTAAACTTACATTGGTCACTGCAAACTTCATGTAGTTTAGAAACAGTAATCAAAGGCACGTATCTGATGATGAGCCTATATGTCAGGCAGGGAAACTAATAGAGGACCTAGTCTTTCCAGTGGACAGATTATAGAACTCAAATGCTCATGGGTGCTTCCTATTCTTCCACTGGATCTGTTGAAATCTCTATCTTTGCTTTCCTTAATTTCTTATGGACAATGGTTTGGAATCCATCGACAATGATATACCTAAATCTCTCAGAGGAAACATTGCCAACTCATTTAGCGAGCCTATGTGCTGTGCTTACTCATAACCTAGTCACATTTAATAGATATGAAATTCCAGGACTGGTCCACACACCCTGGTAGTTTCTGAGCTTGGAAAGACAGTTCTGCAACAGTCCCTTTGAATATTACTTTGGTACCTGATCTAAAGAACAGTTTCTAAACTAATCTTGCCCCATTACAAGCAAGCCCTTCTCTGGTATGCACTTAAAAACTTGGTCTTCAAAAGAATTCACAATCAACCAACCACTTCATTTTGTTACACTCATGGAAAATTCAAAATTGTATTAACTCATAATACCAGCTGATGAAAGACCAAACTGGTCTGATATAGAAATGAATGTAAGATAGTGTTGCATTCTGTCTCCATTCTTCTTTATTTGCCTCTAAAAGGCTAGTTGATTGCCATGTTGTGTTTTACACCTTGGCTGTGATATCAGTCACCTTTTACAACATGCTAACAACAGGGGGATTCCAAAACCCACACAGGGACATAACTGTTCCACATCTATAGAAAGAGAGAGAAATAGCAGATATGATAAGACCTGCGACAGTTTTTCACCCATCACAAATGACAGAAATCCAATCCCAGTACTCACACATACAGTTCACAAAGAGGGTTTCTGGGTTCCAATTTGCTGGAGGAGAAGGAGCTGTGGAAATAAACCCACTTGCATGTTGTAAAAGGTGACGAATGTGTGGTGTTTTCTTTAAAGAAAGTCAGAGTGTGTTTGCCTGAGAGGTGAGGAACCAACAGTCTGCATACAAATAAGCCACATCTATTAAATAAATGTGCATAAAAAAAGTTAAGTAACAAGACCAAAGTCCAGAAGCGGATGATGATCATTAAACATAGGGACATCTTATGCACACTAAATTGCGTTATAAATAATAAATACAGCAGTCTGAGATTAACTACATGCCTCAAATACCTGTGTTCAAAAGTGCCTCAGAAGTCCATTATTCCTCTTTTGCAGGATTGTACAGCCTGAAAACGCCAGCTTTCTGCATTCTTTCAAATGCTGCTTCAGCATCATATGTCCTATAATATAACAGAAAAAAAATTACAGTATCAACACATGAGAACTAAACAGACAGGAATGTTGCATATTAAAATTAGGATTGCTAACAAGGACCACAAAAAGTGTCTGACAGATGAATGTGTCGGCATCTGTGGCTTAAGACGCTGCAAATGTGCTATGTAATGCTAGGGTGCTTGGTTCGATCCCAGCTGCCTGCAATTAGGCAACAAATATGTTGGTTTTGACAGTTGACCATTCAGGAAGCAATGCAAACTACTGAATGCAAATCTGCCTTTAAAAAAAAAGCAAATAAATGCTGGTTTTGCAATATCCTGAAACTAACTCTGTGTGTGTGTGTGCATGCGTGAGTGCATGTAGATATGAATGTACAAGCTGGAGACAGAACTTCAGATGCTCCAAGTAGTAATTTAAGATTATGCAGCAGTATGAACTTTCAACAACAAAGCCTAACCTTACAGTAATCCTCACAACATAGTCCTCAGAGTCTGGTAACACTTGTCAAATACAAAGCGTTACATAAGTTTCCTCACTGTTACTCCCACACATACCAAGAATAGATTTATCTTCTTCTTTTGCCCTTTAACACTTTCGTACCCATACAAATCTTAAACAACCTTGCTTCATATTTTGTTTCAACAAATATTTACAAAATCCTTACAATTCTCATAAATCTACCCTAAGAAACAAGAAGAAGAAGCAGACAGTTTTGAATCATGGTCAGTTCTTGTAAACATCCAGGGGGTTGAACCACTAGACCACCAAGAAGACTGGCAGGTATGAAGTCCTCTGCTTCTTTGATGATGCACCGTCACTGAAGTAGTCATTAAATACAAACGAAGCAAAACATTAACTAATTTTCTTCTCTTTGCTCACTCAAAAGTGGTTTTGGTAACTTTGCCACAGAGAAAAACGTGCTGTAAAATTAAATTAAATGACATAACTGCAAATCCACAATATTGTAAAGTATTTTGTTTTCACCTCTGATAATATCTTAATTCTGGGGGTCAAACACAAGCATACCCATCATGACTATATACAAGGCAGCTGAAGCCAGCACCAAAACCAACATACAGGCACAGGCATACTGGGTATTGTCCAGAGACCACATGTCAACCCAAACTCAAAAAAGTCAACAACAAAAACGGCTTTCTTTAACTGAGCGGGTTAATCCCCTAATGGAATAAATGGCCTTCATCCTGACCTTTACCATCATGTGCAGGTAACCCTATATCCACCCCATCACTTCAATTTCTTGTTCTATTCACTGTTTTTCTCTCATTTCTTTGGCGCTGCTGGCTCTAGTGGAAGAACATTCTAATTACATATAACATGTCCCTATCAGATGGCAGCACTTTTTTCCTCACCCCTTGATTCACTGGAATTTGTTTTAAGCCCAACAAATTATATTAGTCATTCTGTCATACCTTAATTTGTTCTATTCTGTGCAGGCACTAGTCAACAAATGTTTGCAGTTTATTAGAAATTATTTTAGTCGATCTCCATCTCCACGTTGCAGCTCTCTGATTCTGTTTGGTACTAGCTGTAATTTCAATTGACTTCTGCAAATTTTCCCAGAGCTGTCAAAGTTCCATTTGAGTTTTTAATGAATATATTTATAACTGTCATTTCCTCCATCTGTTTCTATACTGCTGCCCTAATGAACATACAACTCACCTTGACGGTTTCAAAAAGGAATATTGGGCTATAACGTTTCTAGTTTATTCTGATAAATTTGTCCCTCTGTAAATTATTAGGCCTAACGGCTAAAATCTCCATCAAGCATGTCTTATGTAAATTATTATAACCTATGCGCGAAAGAAAACGTTTATTTTGTTTTCTAGGTACATACACATTCACACAAAATAATGCTGACATTCTTCTTTTTAGCTTTCACCAGCTTTAAACTCAGGCAGAAAGTTCTGGTTGTTTGTCCACTTCTGGTCTTTGGTCTTGTTCCAGAACTTGAGTTTTGTGTACAGATTCATTTTTACAGATCTGCCTTATTTGAAGTCAGACTACTGGTGCCTTGCCTCTCAGACAGAAGCACTATGACTTTGAAGCAGCACTTCCTAATTAGTTTTCTCGTCCCCCGTGTGGTTTCCAGGGGCCCCATTGTAAAGGAAAAAAACAGGAATAGCCTCGCTGCCTCCCCAACAAACACATCGCAGGAGTCAACTACCTGGGTGCTCTATCTGAAAGTGGAGTGCATCTGAAGGCCTCCAAGCCTAATCCTATGAAAAATGTTGAGAGAAGATGAAGGTGCTGGGCTGAATTCTATCTCCTACCAAAGACTACAGGGTAGTACTCTACAGGACGTACTTTGAAAGGAATACTCCTAATTAGTTATTTTGTATCAACATGCATGTTAGGGACAGTGGGTCTATTCTTTCTCTCCCCCCCCCCCCTCTCCCAAATGAGGTACAGCAACCCACACAGGTGTGACTGATTGAGTTTGTATCCATCAATGAGTATTGAGTGCTAAACTTAAAATGCAAGTAATATAACAAGCTCTTTCCATCAAGTATTTAACTGTTAGTTCATTCATTTTTTTGTTAATCAAATATGACTAATATAAACAGTACTCACTTGAAGAACTCATCAATCTTCCTCTTCCTCCTGTGTTCTACACCAAACTTGTATGCTGCTGAAACAACCAGCGCTGAAGTCAGTGCAATAACAAAGTTCACCTTTGTCTCACTCATAAGCAGATTGCGGAGAACAGGTTTGGAAGCCATCTGTGAAACCACCATTTAAAATACAAATACAATTATTCATTTATATATTAAGGACAAATGGTGATGGCTTAACATCTCATACAATCACGAGAACCACAGATCATGACTGATTTTGTCGTGTATATGCAATGTATTCAAGCCACCCAGGTGTTAATCTTGATGTCTTTCCCTTCTTCATACAATATAAAGAGCAAAGTGTAAGTTTTAAAGGCTGTTCCTCCTCAACACATCTACAAAATCCTGACTGCCCACATGCATTTCTCAAATCACGTTATGTTGTCATATTTCTTGGTGAATTCTTATTTATACTCTTCTGATGATGACTATTGCATTGTTTCCAGAAACTTCATTTCTGCCATTATTATGTCTGTTAGCTCATTTGCTTATACAGTTACTGTCTGTTTCAAATGCTTACAACAGGACAGTTCATATTCTATAATGTACCTTAATCATATTCGTTTGCTAATACTAGATTATGCTAACTGCTATTCAAGAATTTACAGTTCTTGATTTCTACTGTCTTAGTGTCTAGTTACAAAAGTTACCCTTGTCCACATCAACAAGCATACTGGGTATTTGTGATAGAACTATATCTTACAGACCACTCATTGGTGATATGGTCACTATCACACTGGCCACCATTACTTCCTAGGACTTGACCTAGTATCCATTCTAGGCTGGGTCGATACAGGACTTTAGAAAGAAAAACAAAATCAGCCTCTATACAGATTTGAACCTACAACCTTCATGCTCGAGGTGAGCGTCTAACAACTACACCACAGCTAATTATAGTAAAGTTAGAATTGATGCATAAAAATCCTGTACTTCTGGGTAAGTAAAAGTAAAGGACTTTTTTTCATGGCTTCGAATGTGGGCATATAGGGCTAGACATATTTTATAGACCAATCAGCGCTTGTGGGTGATTTAGTCAGCATCATGTCGAGTGCTTTTGTTTTCCAAGACTTCACCTGATACCCATAATTTAAGTCTGGGTCAACCTGGAAGCCAAAGTCATTTTTGTTTTAAAAATCCAGCTCCATCAAGACCCGAAGCCACCAGTTTCCTAGGCAGTCAGGTAGAAAAATGAGACCCCCAAACAATTATGGGAAAACGACATCAAAAATAGAATTCTGGATACACTTCAATACAATCAGCATAAACAAAATTATCTCTTTAAAATTTTTTTTTTAAACAGCAAACACTATGATATACGGATCTGATTCGTGGACTATCTCCCAGTCCTTAAGAAAGACAATAGGGGCTTTTTGAGCTGGAATGCTATAGAAAGATTCTCAAAATATCTTGGACAAATCAAATAGGAGAAATACTGACATCTTGAAAGATCTGAACATCAAGGAAGATTGGCTAATAAACAGCATCCTGTCTCGGAAGCTGAAATATTTTGGTCATATCAAGCACCACAATGGATTGGAAAAATTTATAGCTGAAGGCATTGTACCAGGAAGTAGGGGCAGGGGCCGACCGACACAAAAATAGGCACAGGATATAAAGTGACTCCTTGAGTATGAAAGTACATGAGGTGGGAGAGCTGGCGAGAGACCGAGTTTCTTTCAGGCAGACCGTGATAAAAGCGACGTACTGCAAAAGTCCTGCTACATGATGAGATGATGATGTGAAAGTAAAAAAAAAAAAAAAGTCAAAACAGCTGGAGTAGTTGAGATACCATAGGATATTTATCTCAAATGACATATACACACAAACAACACTAAGTACTAAATGTGGAACACTGTTGTTAGCACTGGCTTATGAGTACTTAATGGTGGTCTCCAATCGCACAACATCCCCCCCCCCCCTTTTCAATCACGATTAGTAGATTACAGACATTTCATTACAGAGAGAGACCTACATCATACAAAGTAACAAACAAATCAAATCATAGAGTAATTTATTCACAACCCCAGGGAGCCCGAGAGGTTCTTAAGGAAGGATAAATAATAATTATCCTCAAAACAACGATTACGCCATATCAAAGAATGTCCACCGCACAAGTTTAAGACTGAAAGTAAACGGGAACGGTGAATGTCAATTGTCACGTCTCCCACAAAACATGGTAAACATGACTTATTCAGAATTGACCCACAACATGATCATGACGACAAGCTGAACAATGAAAGGCATCCATTTTCGTTTTACCAGATATTCATCGCATTTCTCACCATTATTCGGTAATGCACATAAATATCAGCTTCTGTGCAATATTACCAAATGTTTCTATGTTAATACTTACTTCCAAAACTTTAATCAAAGAAGCAAAAACCCACGATAAAATTGCTTGAATGCGGATCTGGCGAAACGACCTTTCCGGCAGTCGGGAGACTAATCGCGTGCCCGTGTCTATGACCTTGCTTCAACAACTTGAGAGTAACATCCCCTGCTTTGTAAAAGGCCCTTGTTCCAACCAGCAACGCGTCATGTTTTTTTTTTTTTAACAATCTGCACTCGGTTTGTGATTTGGTTAACACGACGCCGGTCGCCTTTAGCTCCAAGGACATTATCTTGTACCATTTTTATCTTGATGGGTCGTCCAGGCAAAAATAGAACTTGAAGATAAAAAATTGTTCGGGGATGTGTGTGTGTGTGTGTGTGGGGGGGGGGGGGGGGGGGGGGGGAAACAACTTGTAATCTGGTAACAACTAAATTAGGAGACCTCAGCTCCCATTTCCTATAACTGTGTGAGAGGAAGGACTAAAATGCCCCTTTAAAGCACATTATTATTATTTTTATTATAAATGTGCTGATGGAGAGAATCAAATTAATAGAGTATTTGTACTTGAAATATGAAATGTATAAACAAATACATTTACACAGGATTATCTATATATCGCTAAAATGTGTCTTTTAGCCCCTTACAAAATTACCTCTAAAAACAATCGGGAGGAGGGGAGGGATGCTCAGGGGGGCCTGACCCTAGGTTCTGGGTTTCAGATGAATTTAAGACCAGTAGCGGTGTTAAGACAGCGTGTGATCCTCTCGCCTTGCGCCCTGAATTCTTCTGATGAGTGAGTCAACAAGAACTGTGAGGAGAAGACAAGTACTTACTAGAGTACTGGAGGATTAGAGAAAAGAGGGATGACCATCGGTATTTCCGAAATTAAAACCCTAGTATTTTCAAGAAACACAAGTTCGTGGTGGGACATAGTTGATTATTTGAAAAGTAGCAGCTGGGGTACTTTTCGAGACCATAGACAGGGGGTTCTCAGCACGAGAACAAATGGCATGAGCACGAAATTAGCCTTTTACTGTTCTACTATATGGCAATTCTGACATGTGGGTGTGATTCATGAGCAATGTCAACAGCTCACCGAAGCCAGCTTCAGGTCTCAGAAATGAGGTATCTGAGAAAGGTTGTCCAAGTGCCAATTATAAACACAGTTTGCAGCCAGACAATACTTCATGATCTCGAAACCCAGGCCTTACAAACTGGAGGGAATCAGTCACAGTTACAATAGTTTCGGCATTGATGCAGAATGGGAGAGAATCTCCCACCACGGCCGACATGAGAGGCCAAGAACCAGAGAAGAAGACCACCTCGGCGACCCAGGTTCGCTGGGAAGATAACAATCGCAGTCCCGGAGGGGACTTGAGTGGAACAAGGCAACAAGAAAAATTGCTGACAGAAAAGTCTGGCCAACTCTCTGTCAAATCTCTACATCATAAGGTAGAAGAGGAAGGATCGACTAAGTTAAAACAAAGAAAACAGATAAATTACCCTAGCGCATCGAGCATATGATTCTTGACGTCTTTTTATAGACCCTTATGGGTGATGTGGTCAGTACCGTCTATCGCCTTTACTTCCAATGACATAAACTAGAACCCATTTAGTTAACACAGGTACATATTTTTTTATTTGTATATGAACATTATCTAATAAAACACAAAACGAACTTGCCTTTTTCGTGGCAAACAAATAAATGAATATATCAGAGACCACGTATTCTGCACCCCCCCCCCCCTCCCCCTTTTTTTTCCCCCCTATCTTTATTAGAAATATTATTTATCCACTACACACGACCAACGGACATTTCAACACAAGGCACGTGACATGCTATATTTTAAAATGTGACAATGTTCGCGTACATCCACTTCTGCCGCACTTGGCATCGCTGCAGCAGTTCGATCGATAGATGTTCTCCAGCACTCTATGAATTCTGGCTTACTTAGGTTTGGTCGGTTGCTTCCGGGAATAATTTATTTTTGGTTTGGATCGCCACAGCTAAGAAAAAGCGTGTTTTGCAATGAAGACAATCGCAACAAACGTAAGTAATACTTAAAAAGTTTAGATTTCTTTGTTTTCTTAATGTCCTAAGAAAATAGGATGGGAAAAAGTTAGTATTTTCGTTCAAATCTTACATTCTTTTCCCAGTTTTTAGATTTTTTTTTTTTAATTAATAGTTAGTCATCACCTAGCAACCCTGTAAACTATTGGCAAAATGAACACTTGTTATAGCATAATCCTTTGCATCTTGTCAGGGAGATAAGATAGAGATTTCGACCAACAACTATCTGACCACAATTCAAAAGCTAATCTGTCAGTTACTATGGTTGTATGTTTACCTGACTGCGTAGGTCTTCAAGCTAACTCTTTGGCTACTGTATGGAATGATATAGTTTATGTTCCATTAGATATGAGAGACACTCCTACCCGTCACCTACAGTTAAACAACATAAAGATGACTAAATAAAAAACATGCTCATAGCCAGGGCTTCCCACACCTCCCCCTAACCCCACCATAAAAAACCAAATGGTGCCAGTACTCACCATACAGTGTCTATTACAGAAAAAGATGCCCACGCTGCGAACCACCAGGAAAACAAATCCCTGATCTCGACTGAAAATATCCAACTAAGACAGGCTGTAATGAACACAATAATATTCGAAGTAGAAAATTAAATGTTTCTTCTTGCTTACATTACTGTATGCCAGTGCATAGTCAGTATTACCAAAAACAGAAAAATAACGATTCCATGGACACATACTG